AGAATAGAGATTCCAGAAGTGGATCCTCAACTTTATGGTCAACTAATATTCGACAAAGCAGGAAAGACTATCCACTGGAAAAAGGACAGTCTCTTCAATAAATGGTGCTGGGAAAGTTGGACATCCACATGCAGAAGAATGAAACTAGACTATTCTCCTACACCATACACAAAGATAAACTTAAAATGAATGAAAGATCTAAATGTGAGACAAGACTCTATCAAAATCCTAGAGGAGAACACAGGCAACACCGTGTTTGAACTTGGCCACAGCATCTTCTTTCAAGATACATCCATGAAGGCAAGAGAAACAAAAGCAAAAATGAATCATTGGGACTTCATCAAGATAAGCTTCTGCACAGCAAATAAACAGTCAACAAAACTAAAAAACAACCTACCAAATGAGAGAAGATATTTGCAAATGACATATCAGATAAAGGGCTAGTATCCAAGATCTATAAAGAACTTATTAAACTCAACAGCAAAGAAACAAACAATCCAATCATGAAATGGGCAAAAGACATGAACAAAAATTTCACAGAGGAAGACATACACATGGCCTTAAGCACATGAGAAAATGCTCCGCATCACTGGCCATCAGGGAAATACAAATCAAAACCACAATGAGATCCCACCTCACACCAGTGAGAATGGGGAAAATTAACAAGGCAGGAAACCACAAATGTTGGAGAGGATGTGGAGAAAGGGGAACCCTCTTGCACTGTTTGTGGTAATGTGAACTGGTGCATCCACTCTGGAAAACTGTGTGGAGGTTCCTCAAAGTGTTAAAAATAGATGTGCCCTAGAATAGAATTGCACTGCTGGGGATTTACCCCAAAGATACAGATGCAGTGAAACGCCGGGACACCTGCACCCCGATGTTTATAGCAGCAATGTCCACAATAGCCAAACTGTGGAAGGAGCCTCGGTGTCCACTGAAAGATGAATGGATAAAGAAGTTGTGGTTTTTGTATACAATGGAGTATTACTCAGCCATTAGATATGACTAATACCCACCTTTTGCTTTGACGTGGATGGACCTCAAGGGTGTTATGCTGAGTGAAATATGTCAGTTGGAGAAGGACAAGCATTATATGGTCTCATTCCTTTGGGGAATATAAAAGTCAGTTTAAGGAAATAAAGGGAAAGGAGAGAGAATGAGTCAAAATATCAGTGGGGGTGACAAAAATTGAGAGACACCTAACTCTGGGAAATGAACAAGGGGTAGTGGTAGGGGAGGTGGGCAGGGGGTGGGGGTGCCTGGGTGAGGGGGGCACTTGGCGGGATGAGCACTGGGTGTTATGCTATATGTTTGCAAAGTGAACTCCAATAAATGAAATTTAAAAAAGAAAAAAAAAATCATAAAAAAAACAACAAACAGCCAGATTTAACCAATGAGCTATAGCTTTTCAGACCCTACTATTTGCATTTTTAAGAGTTTTATGTAAAAGGGTTGTGTAATTAGTAATATTTCTCAGTCTGGACTCTTAGCATAATTATTATGAGATTCATCCATGTGGTAGTGTACATCAATATTTCCTTCCCTTTTATTGGCTGAATAGTATTCTATGAATTGAATATGCCACAACTCATATATCCATTTACCTGTTGTTGTGCATTTGGTTTGTTTCTAGTTTTTTACTATTAGGGCTGAAACTATAATGAATGTTTGTGTTCAATTCTTTCTTTCATCATAAGATTTAATTTCTCTTGAGTTAATACCCCAAAGTGGAATCGTTGGATATTTGGTATACTTATGGGCAATGTTTTTAAAAACTGCAAGACTGTTTTCCAAAGTGGTTGTAATATTTCACAATTCCTTCAGCAATATATGAGAATTCCATTTTTCCAAATCGTTGTCTACAGTTAGACTACACTTAGTCTACACTTAGTGCTTTTTGTTTTTACACATTCTAAGGCATGCAGTAAGGTATGTATGATTTTGCTTTGCATTTTCCTGATGATTTGTGATATTGAGCATATTTTCATGTGCTTATTTGCCATCCTTATATATTTGGTGAGGTGTTTATTCAAAACATTCTCCATTTTAATGGAATTGTTTGTTAATGTTGAGTTTTGAGAATTTTGAGGAATATATTCTGGATATGAGAAGTCCTTTATGAGATAGATAATTTCCAAATTTCTCTCCTACTCTGTGGCTTGTCTTGAGATTTACGTAACAGTGACATTTGAGAAGTGTGAAGTCAAATTAATGAAAATTTCCTTTTGTAGATCATGCTTTTAGTGTCGTATCCAAGAAAACTTTCCCAAAGACTAAGGAATTTCTATATTTTATTCTAGAAGTTTTATAGTTATAAATTTTACATTTAGACTTATGATCCACTTAGTTAACTTTTGTATATAATTCAATGATCAGAGTAAAAATCTTTTTTTTATATGATTATCCAATTCCTCCAGCAACATTTGTGGAAAAACTACTATTTCTTCACTGAACTGTCACTGAACCTTTGTTGAAAATCAATTGGCATGGGATTACTGAGTGGCTCAGTAGTTGAGTGTCTCCCTTTGGCTCAGGGTGTGATCCTGGAGTCCCAGGATTGAGTCCTACATTGGGCAACCTGCAGGGAGCCTGCTTCCTTCCTCTGCCTATGTCTCTGCCTCTCTTTCTGTTTCTCATGAATAAATAAATAAAATTTTATTTAAAAAGAAGAAAGATAATCAATTGGCCATGAATGTAGGAGTGTATTTCTGGATTCTCTATTGATCAGAGTGACTATATACTATTGCAATACTACACTGTTAGAATATTGTAGCTTTATAATAGGTCTTGGTGTGAAATAGTGTGTATTATTCAACTTTGTTCTTCTTTCTCAAGGTCATATTGGCTATTATAGGTCCTTTGCATTCCCACATTAATTTCAGAATCAATTTGTTAATTTCAACACAAAAGATGCCTGGGATTTCTAGAGAACATCCTTAGAAAAACCTTTATATAGAAGATCTAAATAAATGAAGATATATACCACATTCATAGATGAGAAGACCTTACATTGTTAAAGTGCTCTTTCCAAATAAATCCATACATGGTCCCTTAAAGGTGTTTAACTCTTAATTCCTGATGTTTACTGCCTGTATGTGTTATGTTGTGTGGCAAAGGGACTTTAATACAAGATTTTCCTGGATTATCTAGCTGGGCCCAGTGTAATCACATGGACCCTTAAAGGTAGAAGTGGAAGACAGAAGAGTTAGAGAGATAAGACAGAAGAAGAGAGGCAAGAAAGATTTGAAGTGTGAGAGGGATTTGACCTACCATTGCTGGCTTTGATGATAGATGAAGGTAGGAGTCATGTCCTAGGGAATGTGAGTGGTCTCTAGAAGTGAGAACAACTCCTGGGTGACAGCCAGTGAGGGAATTGGGGCCTCAGTCTTACAATGCAAAGAATTGAATTATGTCAACAACTTGAATGAACAAGAAAGCAGATTCTTTCCTAGAGCCTCCAGAAAAGAATTCAGTCCTGCCACCACTTTGATTTTTGTCTTGATGAGGTTCTAGTCAGAAATGTAGCTGAGCCCACCATACTTCTGACTTAAGAAAATTGTTATATAAGGAGTAGGTTTTATTTTGAGCCATACACGTGTGATAATTTGTTATGGCAGGTGTAGAAAACTATTACTCTTTTTTTAAAAAAAATATTTATTTTAGAGAGAGAGTGAGGTAGAGGGCAGGGGTGGGGCAGGGTAGAGAATGTAGCCTGACATAGGGTTTGATCCCATGACCATGACCTGAGCCAAAATCAAGAGTTGTGCACTTAACTGGCTGAGCCACTTAGGCACACCAAACTAGTACTCTTTTTATGTCTATAGAGTTTATAGTCCTGTCACTGTTTTTATTGTTGATCTTGGCAAATTTTGTCTTTTCATGTTTTGTCCTATTCAAATTGGCTAAGCTTTATCAACCTTTTTGGTTTTCTCTAAGAACCAAATTGATGTCATTGCTTTCCTCTAATATTTTCTATTTCACTGATTCCTGCTCCAATCCTTATTCTTTCTTTTCTTCTATTATTTTGGATTATATTTGCCCTACTCATTAAAAAAATGAGCAGACCGTTTGAACTAAAAATTTAAAAAAGAAGATCTATGGGTGGCAAATAGCTATATGAGAAAACACTCAACATCATTAGGCATTAGAGAAATGCAATTTGAAACTACAAAAAATACCCTTCATACTCATTGGAGTATGAGATTTGATACTTCTTACTCATTGGAAGGTCAAACATTAAAAAAAGGCTGACTTAGTGTTGAAAATCTAGGGGAACAGAATTCTCATATACTGTTGGGGTGGTAAAATGTTACAACCATTTTGGAAAACAGTTTCAGAATTTCGTAAAACATAAAAATTCTGTAATACTAATCTATCATATAATCAAGACTAATCTATTTCCAGTTATTTATTCAAGGGAACTGAAAACATATGTGCATATAGATAATTGAAAATGACATTTAATAGCACATTCGTTTGTAATAGTCAAATAATGGAAGCAATCCAAATGTCCCATCAACAGTGAATAGATATGTACATCATCCCATAGCCATCCCATGGCATACTCCTAAACAATAAAAAACAATGAACTATTGATCCACAAACCAACATTGAAGAATCTTAAAATAGTTGTGTTGAAATGGAAGCAGACAAAAAAAACACATACTGTATGATTGTATTAATAGAAAATATAAACTAATCTGTAGTGAAAGAAAATACATGAATAGTTCCTGGGTGTAGGATGGGGTTACAGGGAAGTCAGAGCGGATACAAGAATGCAGACATTAGTAAACTGTTGAGGGCAGTGAATGTGTTCAATACCTTGATTCTATTATTGGTTTTGTGGGTGCATTAGCCAAAATATAAATTATACATTTAAATATGTTCAGTTTGCAGAATATACTTTTTTTCAACAAGGAAAATAATCAGAAGATTATAAACTCAGTGTGTTAACAGTTGAACTACATCTATGTCTATATGTGCACTTATTTCTTTTTCAGGATGGATTGCTATTCTGGGTGCCATCTGGTTGCTAATTTTAGCTGATATTCATGATTTTGAGATAATTCTACACCGAGTGGAATGGGCAACTCTTCTATTCTTTGCAGCACTCTTTGTTCTGATGGAGGTAAGACTTTAGAACTTTTGCAATGTAATCTTTTCCTGACATTTATACTTCCTGTTTTAATGAGAAAAGCCCAAGTCTGTAAGTCTTTCCACATATTCACCAAGATGAAAATGCTGGAGGTTGTGATTAGAATATTTTAAGTTAAAGCAGCTTTTATCTCAGCCACCTAAATATTTCTTTTTTTTTAAGATTTTATTTATTTATTCATGAGAGACACAGAGAGAGATGGAGAGAGGCAGAGACACAGGCAGAGGGAGAACCAGGCTCCATGCAGGGAGCCCTATATGGAACTCCACCCCAGGTCTCCAGGATGACGCCCTGGGCTGAAGGCAGCGCTAAACTGCTGAGCCACACAGGCTGCCCTCCACCTAAATATTTCTGATAAATTTTTTTGGTTGCTTTTTTAAAAAAAATTATCTTTGTGATATGTAAACTTCTTCAAATTTCATTTGCTATAAAGTAGAATTTGCTCTAAGTTGGTTGTAGAGCTGAATGATTTGTTACAGCAAATTGACAGAATAATATTATATTGATGATCTATTTCATTTTTTGTAATACCTAAGTAAATATTCTGTTATCATGGAAAAGACTACATCAAAGAGAAGAGTGAGTAAAATATATTGTTCTAATTATGGTTTTGGTTGTTGCAAAATTTATTCAAAAATTAATGACATTATTGTTCATTCTTGAGACTTATATGATGAACTTGTATCCTCCTCAAATACAAGGTTAGCGGATATAGAAAAATACTACTCCCTAAAGCATATCCTCAAGCACACCAAATGTCTCACATTAATTACCTTAATTTGCTGATGACAGACCCATTTGGTTTTAATTCTTCTCTGGATTAAAACTTTGACACTCTCCCCCACTAATTTTCTTTAAGCTAGGTCCCTTGAATTTTTGTAATTTGTCTTTACTCATAATGAATTGTGTGGATGTAATCAAGTGACTCCTTTAGTTCTCCAAATCTCTCAGGGAGTTGTGGATTTTATTCTAGGTCCTTGGTTCCCTAGTGAAAAACTTCACCTTTTTTCTTTTGGGTATTCTTCTCACACTAACACATAGAATATGAATGGGGAAATTCTGGTTACTGTTTTCATGATTGGATTTTGAAAGTCTCTGCTTTGATTACATGTTTACTCCAGGTATAAATTGCTATCTCATTTGGATTTTGGGTATACTTTCCCCAATTTTATGCTTCACTTTGTTGTGTTGGTGGAATAAATAATGGAATTTTTAAAGCAACTTTATTAAGATGTAATTTATGTATCATAAAATTCACCCATGTTAAATTTACAATTCAGTGATTTTTAATTTTCAAAATATTTGCATCATCTAGAAAGATCCCACATGTTCTTTTACAAATAATTCTAGCTTTCAACTTCAGCTTTAGGCAACTACTGATTTTTTTTTATTTCACTATGTGGATATACTATGTTTTATTTACCCATCACCATCTGATGAACATGTGTATTTCCAATTTTGAACATTATGAATATTGCTATCATAAATATTTGTATATAAGTCTTTGTGTGAATTTATATTTTCATTACTTTGAGGTATATGCTAGGATTTATCATAAGTTTAGCTTCTTAAGAAACAGCCAAAATGTTTTCCAAAGTGGCTATATACATTTTACATTCTCACCAGCAATATAATAGGATTCTAGTTTCTCTACATTCTCACTATCACCTATTGCCTTTCTTTTTAATTATTAGACATTCTAGTAGGTGTGAAGTGGTATCTCATTGTGATATTCAAGATCATGTTATTAGTCATTTTTATATGTTCAGTAAATTTCTATTCAAACTTTTTACCACTTTACATTTGTTTTTTTTAAAAATCATAATAGTCCTTTATATATTCTGTATATTAGTCTTTCATCAAATATATGATTGGATTCTGATTGTACTTGCCATTATATAGAAATACGATTAATTTTTATATTGATGTTTTATCCTGTGACCTTATTGAACTCATTTATTAATCTAGTAGTTATTTTTGGATTCTTTAGAATTTTCTTCCTTATCATTTGCAAATAAAGACATTTTAATTTCTTCTTTTTCTGATCTAGATGCAGCTAACTAGCTCACATTCTCACCTTCCTCTCTTTCCTATTTTCCCTTCTTTCTTTTTCTCTTGTCTTGTTGGCTAGAACTTCCAGTTCAGTGTTGGATAGAAGTGGTGAGCATTGACATCCATGCCTTGTTCCTGAGCTTAGGGGCAAAGCATTCAGTTTTTCATTATTGTGCATAATGTTTGTTGCAGTTTTTTTTTTTTAATAGCAGCTCTTTATCAGGTTGAAAAAGTTCCAATATATTCCAAGTTTGTCATGAATTTTTAACAGAAATGTATATTGGATTTTGAAAAATCCTTGTCTATCTATGGAGATGACCATGTGATTTTTATCCTTGATTCTATTAATTTGAATCTATTAACATGGCATACTATATTAATGAATTTTCAGATGTTAAATATATTTTGCATTCTTAGAATAAATCTCACTTGGTCATGGTGTATAATTGTTGAATTTGTTTTATATATTCATGAGGGATATGTTTTTAATTCAGTAGTGTTTCCCATCACTTCAGTTTTGTGGTCTAGTATTTGCTCTTTCCTGGAGAACATTCCACTTATGCTTGAAAAGTTTGTGTCCTTTGCTGTTGTTTTGGTGGAATGTACTATTAAATGCCAAATATGTCATGCTTGTTAACAGTTTTAAGTCTTACACATCACATGTGTGGTTCTATCAATTATTGAGATTGGGATATTGACGTCTTCATTATTGCTTAATTGTGTATTTTTTCTTTCAAGGGTATTCATTTTGTTTTATGTATCCTGAGGATCTGTTGTTAGGCACATGTATTTTAGAATTACTTTATCATTCAATGAATAGAGCTTCTTTCATTATTAATAGTCCCTCCTTTTCTTTAGTAATATTTTTGTACTGGGGTCTATTTTGACTGATATTGATATAGACACTTTAGTCTTTTGTTTACTGTTTGTATGGGATATCATTTTTTAAAAAATCCAGTTTGGCAATTTTTCTTTTGATTGAAATGTTTAATCCATTCATATTTAATAAAATTATTTTATTGTTGAGTTTTTATCTGCCATTTTGCTATTTGTTTTTGCTATCTCATTTCTTTTTTGTTCCTTTCTTTGTGTTAAATAAATATTTTCTTCTGTATTTAAGTTCTCTTCATTTCTTTTTTCTTAACCATATTTTAAACATTATTTTCTATGGTTAGAGTAGGAGTTAAGATATGCATCTTAATTTATTACAGTCTATTTTGGATTAATAATAAATTACTTTGAGTAATATATAGAAACCTCCCTCCAATATGGCTCCAGTTTCTCATCTTTTCTTTGCACTTTTATTGTTACATATGTTATATCTTTGTTATATGCCTAACATAGTTATATCATTATTATTTTATGCAATGTATTTTAAATAAAGAGAAGAAAATAAAAACATATTCATACAATCTTTTATATATGTATTTGCATTTTCCATGGTTCTTTCTTTGTATATATTTAAGTTGTCATATGGTATCAGCCTGAAGGAGTTCCTATAGTATATCTTGTAGAGCAGTTTGGCTAGGAACATATTCTCTTAGTCTTTGTATGTGAATGTCTTTATTTTGCCTTCATTTTCAAAGGATAGTTTTGCTGGATCAATATAGGACTCTTGGTTTATAGTTGTTTTTTCTTTCAACACTTCAAATCTGAGCTCTCTGGTCTCCATTACTTCTTATGGGAAGTCAGCTGTTAATCATACTGTTTTTCCTCTGTTCTCCTGTTGCTGCTTTTGAGACTTTGTCTTTGTCTTTCAGTAGTTTGACTATGATGCATCTAGGTATGGATATCTTTGTATTTATTGTATTGTGTTCTTTTGAGCTTTCAGATCTGTAGGTTAATTTTTTAAAAATCAACTTTTAGTATTTGAATAGTTTATTATTATTCCTTCAATTATACTTTTGTACCCCCTTTTTCTCTTTAAATTATATTATTATCCTCTCTTTCTGAGACTCCCATCATAGTGATGTTTGTTTGCTTGATGGAGTCCTAAAGTTCTTCATTGTGCTCATATTTCCTCGTTGTTTACTCTTTCTGTTCTTCAGAGCAATAATTTCTTTTGATAAATTATAGTTTTCTTCTTTTTAAAGATTTTATTTATTTATTTGAACGAGAGAGGGAGAGAGCATGAGCAGGGAGAGGGACAAAGGGAGAGGGAGAAGCAGACTCCTTGCTGAGTGGGGAGCCCAACGAGGGGATTAATCCCAGGACCCTGAGATCATGATCTGAGTCACACACTTAGCTGATTGAGCCATCCAGGCACCATGATGAATTTTAGTTTTCAGTGAGTCTTTTAATGTCCTCTCAAATTTGTTGTTGAGTTCCTCTGCTGAAATTCTCATTTCACTCATGCTTTTCAATTCCAAAATTTATTTTATTTTATTTTATTTATTTTATTTATTTTATTTTATTTTATTTTATTTTATTTTTTTAATTGGAGCTCAGTTTGTTCAATAGTTGGAACATATTTTTAATAAAAATTCATTCAGCCAGAATCTACCTTTTATTCCATTTACATTTAGTGTAAATATTGAGAAGGTAGTATTTCTGCATAATATTTAAAATTTACATTATTCTTTATGTCTGTTTTTGTCTGTTTTCCTGATCTCTCTGTTAAGGTGTTCGTTGATATCACAGATAGGTGTTAGTCTTCATTAATTATCAAATTATTACTCTGTTGTTTTTGACACTTCCTGAGTCATAAGTCTCTCCACAGTATGATCCAGTTACATTTGCTTCCCTTTGCAAAGGCAGTTTTTGATATTTGTTTTTAGGTTTGTTCTGAGTCAATGAGGCTTCTTAGCTGTGTCTTTCCCTAGCTCCTTCTGTTAAGCTAGCTAGCATATAGTTTGTCTTGTTACTCTCATGGAGCTATCAGTCTCCTCTTAATTGCTTATCATCAAGTTTTTATTGTTTTT